TTATAAATAAGACTAGAATAATATTTTTAGTCATTGACCTTAGTCACAAGCACATATATCAGCCCTGAAAATCGGAAAGTTGACTCCACTCAGCAATCTTTATTTAAACTGGAAATTCTATTAACACGACTTCTTCGTTCAAATTTTTATATATTAAATACTTTGAATCTAAAAAACTCGGAGAGAGCATCCGTTGATGGAACCCCACACACAAAGGTGGAGATCAGAGTAGGGATTGGCTTTGACCCTCCAAATTTTTAATTCGATTTTCTTGATATGATATATAGGTATTATGCACTTTCGTCCCTTAACATTATATAAACTTGATACTTAGCTTTATATGTGTGCCTTTTGATAGACATGATCGCAACTGTGTGTTATTTATTCAAATGATTACAAAAAGTACAAGGAAACAGATTTACGAAGGAAGCAGCTTTCGAATAACGAATATTATTAACTACACTGTTTGTATGAGACAACAAATGATCAAATCAAACATAAAAACGAACGAATAAAGAATATCACATATATAGTAATGTGCCCTACATATATTTGCAACTATTTCGATTCTCCCTTCATGTGACCCATCATTAACGATCCATAATCAATGATGCAGCGGCTTCATCCGCAAGATTAATCTGCAAATATGAAAATGAAACCCAAGGGTTGTAAGTAACATAAAGTGCTTCTGTTATGATGGAAATAAACAGGTAAAAACATTGCCCCCCACCCATGAACCTGATCGAGAACGAAGATATAACAAGAAAAACGAGTGAATATACATATGTATGTATTAACCTGAGAAATGCATGGAATTATGAAGTGCGTCATCATCGACTCTTGGAGAAGTGATCCTTGGAGTTTGGAATGCGAGTGGCTGGTCTGGTTTTAGAACCCTGTGTGGGAGGAGGCGTTGGGCAAAGATGCGCTGGATGTTGATGCTTGAAGAACTCTTACTGCTTCTTCTTCCACAGATTGTATATTGGTCAGAGTGATAGATCAGATAGGGTTTGCTGTGAATATAATGAAGCTTGAAGATGAAGCAGATATATATATATAATAGAGAGAGAGAGACACACACACACACGGAGGTAGGAAAGATAATTGATGACGATGAATGAGGAATGAGAGTAGAGACAGCTAGGGTTTTCTGTGAATGAAGCTTCTTCTTCGAGAGGGTAAGCAGAAAGACTAATGCTGAGAGAGAGAGAGGGAGGGGGATGAAGCTTGAGGAGGAATGAACGTAGATATATATAGCTTAGCGTGGCTTAACATGGAAGGAAGCTAATCTACCCGAGAGAGTATTGTCGAATTAATAAATGAATTAGTAATTTACCAGAAAGTTCTATTGTTTCGAACTAATACGTACGTAAGTTTAGGGAGGAAGCAGGCGACCACTTCAACAGAGCGTTAAAGCCGTGTCGGTGATATGTAAGGGCGATGGTTGTGAGCTGGCGGTCAGGTCGTTTAGTCAGTTTGTTTGGGGCCATGGATGGGCGATAACTTCGAGGAACGTCGTAGTAGGGTGTGAACACCCACCTCGTTTCTGCATAGAAATGTTTGCCGATTATGTCCGATTTAAGTCTGTTCGCCCATTAAAGGTTTGACCAGAGAGACCTTTGTGGAAATATGGGTAGTTAATTACGTATACGCCCTCCGTTCCTTATTATAGAGACATTTATGCTTATGACATGTTCCCATATACAAGACACTTAAAAGTTGTCTCTATTTTTTTGTATGATTCCTATTTTACCCCTATTTATTTTGTCTCTAACTCCTACTCTCTCTTCCTCCCACTTCTCTTTCTTTAATAATTTAATTGTTCTCATACTCTCTCTCTCCTTATTAATGGGGGCATGTTGGAAAAAACATTTGCTTTTACACATTAATTGTTCTCAACTAATTTTAACTGTTTTTTTATCAACGTAATTTGGTTATTTGTCTTTATAATAAGAAACTGAGGGTGTAATGTGGACGCAAATACTCAGTGTTTCACTTCAATCTTCAAACTTCCCTCTTTTTCTGTTTATACTTCGCAAATCAATTAATTTAATCACTAATCTTCTAATCAGCCATGGGAAACCTCTATGTTATTAATTTAATTAACCACCCATATATATTTCGTAATATAACATTTTGGGGGAGTATTACCGATCTTTATTTGCATCAAAATTATTTGGCACGGTCCTTTTTCTTGGGTTGATATGCCAATTGTAAAGGTTGTAAATCATAGGAATTGAAATTAATTAAACTGAAGGAAAATTAGAATTTAGAAATTAAAATCTCAATTTTCCCTTAATGTAACGAAGTTGTATTACCCTAAGATAAATCTTGTTGTGATGATGTGGTTCACAAATTTGATAGCTGTAGCTAGGCTGTCCTGGCCAGCCATAATTAATCACAAAACAGATCAAACATTTTAAGAAGATGATGAATAAAATATCAACTGTTTATAACTAAAATAATATTTGTGCCCGCCCGTTTGCTTCAACTAACCAATATAATTTTAAATCATGCATGAATGCATTTGTTTTTAATTCATTTGGATTCTGTATGTCCATCATTTTGAACTTTAATATTTAAACAAGCGTGTCACGAATTTATCTTCCATTCCCATACACGCCCTTATATATAGATTGGGTTGGTTCAATATCAAAGTCAACTTATATTTTGAATCAAGCACTCCTCCAGTCCTAAATGTAAAACCCTTATACACATTAGTATAAGGGTCTTATATTTAGAACCGGAGGAGTAATAAATTTGGGATAATAAGACTTATATTGCAGATCGCAACCGATTAATTTTTATTGTACATTATATTAGGGAGAATGATAGTTATTAGCTTCCGAAACTTCAATTTAATGAGACTAAGGTCCCAAAAGAATTGTATTAAAAGATAAATATACAGATTGTACAATTCATACAGATGATCCTTAACTGTCACTAGTTGTTGATTTGCAACTTAATTAGCTACACTTTCATATTTATCCCTATTTATATTAATATTTGCAACCTTAATGTTAAATAAATATTTTTTCAGAGACTTAAATAAACATTTTTTGGAGACCGAATGAATTATTAAACTGAAGTTTATAAATGATAGACGAATGATATGGGGGGCCCACCTGGAGTAAGTAATCCATCCAATCGGAAGAGGCGAGGTCAAAGATATAAATGAGCAAAGGATATGGAGGTGAAATCAAACCCAAGTTAGGGATAAAATCGTACACGCACGCAAAGATTTGCAGGCGCCCAGATTATACGTAATGCAGCGAAACGTCTGGCATCCCAATCTCTCTGAACTTTCTCTGTAAATTCTCATCCAACACAAATCTCTTAATTAGTTCATTCTTCTTCTTCTTCGTAATCTCTTGTTTATACACATATAGACGCTTGGTCGGTTATACTAAATTAGAGGGCTTCACACTCTGCGTTCCTGGAAATTCTCCTCTATGGCGCAACACGGCTTATTAATTAATTACACGCATCTCTTTAATTTCTCGCCTCCTTCATGGCTCATCGAACGCCGCTGATCATTCCAATTTCCAATATTTTTCATTTAGGCTTTAACCCTGCCGATCGATGGAAAATGGATTATCGGAAAACAAACCCTCAGGATGTTTTTCCCCTTCTCAATCTCAGCCTGCCACTCCCTCAGCTGGGACTCGTATTCCCACTGCCCACAAAATCGTTTCCAGATCAAACACTTAATTTCTTCATTCCCCATCCACCACGCATCTTCATCTTCCATATATACACTCACAGTGTTACGATCCTGCATCCGAGCAATAGGCGTCTCTCTCCAAGTCAATAAACTAGTCTTTTGGGATCAAACACTTAATTTCTTCTCATGGGTATCTTCGTTCTCCATCCATCAGCTACCTTCATCTTCCATATATACACTGATAATGTTACGATCCTGCATCAGAGCAAGAGGAGTCTCTCTCCCAGACAATAAACTATTGTTTCGCGATTGGATTCTCTTTTTACATTTTCCCCCTGTTTGTTCCCCTCTATACTGGATCATAATTTGGTTCTCGTCTTCACGCAGATTGTGGAGCGAGCAAGCGTCCTTGAGAATGGAGAGTCAAGTGGCTTCGACAATAAAGCAAGAAAACGGAAGTAGAGTTTGCATATGTAGCTGGCTAATCATGTTCTTTGACTTATTTTTTGTTCCGTTTCTTGATCTTTTCGTTTTTCGTATGTCTAGGTTTCATTCATTATTCTTCTGTCTATATCTACTTCCAAAAATGGGATTTGCACTTTTTGTTTGCCTTTTGTTATAATGAGAACGGTATAAAAAGTTTCGTGCAGTGTCCCATCATGTCTGGCCCTTTTCCCATTGAGTTGTTTTTATTGGATCTTTTTCGTGTCTCGTAATAATTGTCCTTTTCGTCAGGGGTGGGGAAAAAAAACATCACTCCTCTAATTTTAATCAATGGGCCACTTGCTTTTACAATACGCGCTCTGCTAAATTGTCGATTTAATATTTGAAAATCTGACGGAATATCTAATCCCCCAATTATTTTTGTTACAAAACCACATAATAACCAGCACACATATAGATGTGTAACAATTTTTTTTCAAATTTTTTTGGCCAAAATTTTCTCTTACAAACTGTAAATGAGCCGTGTATAACAAAATACACAGTGGTAAAATCATGACTAAATTACATTTTAATCAGGGTGATGAAAACCATGGTTAGTTAAACCTAACGACAATTTTATTGTTAAAAATATGGTTCGATCATTCCAGACGGGCCCCAAACTTTTAGCAGAGGCTCAGGCCAGAAAACGTTTTAAATTATGACATACAATTTATTTACTTTTGTAGAAGCTAAAAATAGCAAGTGGGGGAATGATTCCGTTAGATCTTCAAATTAATATTGAATGGACTACTTAATTTATGTATTGTGCACATCATAAGAAGTTGAAAAGAGGAGTACATATGGAATGCGGCGTTAACGTTGTGTGCTTGAACTTTTGAGCGCCGATGATTTGCATGAAGGGATCGGAACTGTCTTATTTTATTCCCAATGATCACAAAAAACAAACAGAAAGTACAAGGAAACAGATTTACGGATTAAGCAGCTTTCAAATGAACATCATTAAACTCCAATGTTTGTGGTACCCACCAAATAATCAAATCAAACATATAGACATAAAAAGGAACAAATAAAGAATAATAAATAATACAATCATATTGATGTATCCTACACACACACATAAGCAACTACTTAAACTGCAGAATCAATATAATGGCGTTCGCTTCATCTGCAAGATTGATCTGCATGGAAATGAAATCCAAGGGTCATAACAAGAAGCGCTTCTCCTCATAAAGAACGTCACCTAAATTGATTTCTAGTAAGTAATTCAGAAGGGGGGGTGTGCTTATATAGAAGATTAATTATATTAACCTGAGAAAATATGGAATTATGAAATGAGTCATCATCGACTCTTGGAAAAATGATCCTTGGTGTTTGGGATGCGAGTGCCTGGTCTGATGTTAGAGCCCTGAGTACGAGGAGGCTGAGGGGACAAAATGCTCTGGATGTTGATGCTTGAAGAACTCATACTGCTCGCTTCTTCTTCTTCTTTCACGACAGGTTAAGCAGAGAGATAGACCAGATAGGGTTTGCTGTGAATAATAATAACAACGAAGCTTCAAGTTGAAGCAGATATATATATATATATTTATAGACAAACTGGTAGGAAAGATTGTTGATGATGATCGATGAATGAGAAACAGTGAGATAGATGTCTAGGGTTTTCTGTGAATGAAGCTTAGAAGAGGAATGAGAGATTTAGCTATAGGGTTTGCTGTGAATGAAGCTTGAGGAGGAATAAACGTACATATGTATATATAGAGCTTGGCGTGGCTTAACATGGAAGGAAACTGGCTAAGAGATTATTATTAAATGAGTAATAAATGAAGAATTGTAGTAATTTACAGAGAAAGTGCTGTTTCGAACTAATGTACGTAAGTTTATTGGGGAGGAAGCAGACGACCGCTTCAACTAGAGAGCGTTAAAGCCGTGTCGGTGATACATACAGGCGATGGTTATTGTGTGCTGGCAGTGAGTCAAGTCATTTATTCAGTTTGCTTGGCGTCATGCTCCACGTATAACTTCCAGGAATAATGTGTACCCACCCCCCCCAAAAAAAAAAACATGTGTCCCACTTCAAACTTCTGTTTTTGGCTTGCAAACTATAGGAATTGAAAAATGAAAGGAAATTTTGATGGAATTAGCTCATATACCAGCTCCAATCCTAAATAGAAGAGCTAGTTGACTAATTTAAGTAGATTAAGAAAATAAGTTTAGTTAGTTATTTGTAATAAATAGGTGTTGTTTTCCCTAAAATATCCTTACTAATCGAATTTGATGACTAGAACTATCATTATTAGAAGAGTTATTTTAGAAAAAAAATAGATAAATATAAGAAACAAAGTGGATTAGAATCTTATATTTAAAATCAAAATAAAAATCAAACAAAAACTTATGTTAAAGACCGGACGTAGTATTAAGGGTAGAAGGTGCTAAGAAAATGCTTGGCTGTCTGTGGCCAGGCTGTCCTAGCTAGCTACAGCAGGTCAACATACAGTTTAACTAGAACATCATTAAAATATCAATTGTTTGACTAAATTCATATTGTGCGGCCGCGGCCGCTAATTAACCAGTATAGTAATAATTTTGAAACGTGAGATTGCATTTGTCTTTTAATAATTCATTGGGATTCTATACGTATCATGAATTTATCTTACATAGACACACGCCTTTATAGTTTGTGTGGGGCCCGTAATAAACCTTCCTTCGTGCCAAATAAGTTACCATTCCTTGTAGTTTTTAATCGCTCAACTTTCTTTTTATTTATAACATTGGTCCCTATAATTCAATAAAAACTTAGACCATTTTATCCCTTCAAAGACTAAAATCTATGGTTTGAAACTTGAGGGACTAAAACCAAAATGAGGGCAAACTTGAGAGATCAAATATTATATTAACCCATTTGAAAACAAAAGTCTATTTCTAACATATTTATTGTTTTTAACTAAATTTAACTATTTGTTCGTTATCTGTGAATTAGTTATTTTAAACTTATAATAAGGATTGGAGGAATTACTATATATTAATCTTGCCTTTGTTCCTTGCCATATAATAAATTACACTTGCCATGAAATTCGATATTGAAGTTAAAATATGCTTTAGAGTGGCTATTTTTAACGCTAAGGCATAACTTATTTTTATATTATTTTAACATGTTTTGTGAGTCTTTTTTTCCCCTATCACCAGTTAGTCTAAATTTAATGGACTTCTCCTTGCACACCTCTAGCTTGCCTTTTACAACAGAATAATTCAATTGTTAATCAAATTCAAGACCGGGGAAAAATCAATGAAATATATATATCTTAACATAGAATTGCATTTTCCTTTAATTTGGCCATGTGTGCACCTCATTGCACTTAAACACAATACATTTTGACCAAACTAAACTTACTCTATTCATACATAGAAATTACAGGGTCTAGCAAACTATGTTTATTTGGGTGGAATAGAGGCCTACAGAAGTATTTGGTATAGAGTATATCTAGGTAAAGAGGGAATTGCGGGAACAAAAACAAAGGTGTTGGAACAAATGCAAGTACTGAAATGAGCCAGGGGACCCATTTTAGACCATGATAATATGTGACAAAGAAGGCACTAATAAAAGCTACTATCATGCTGATGACGGAGATGAACAGTATTATTACTCCTGATATCAGCTTCAATGGCAGTGACTTGGGAAAATCTTGTTCTGCATAACATGAATTGAGGATGGACAAGGAGATTAGGATGGAGGTTGAGATGAAATAAATGCAGATACAACTGACATAGTGAATATCTAAAATGGTAGTTTCTCCAAATAGTTAGGATCTCCTGCGTCGTCGTTGTTAGCACCAGGAATGGTGAATGCAACACAAAATACTCCTGTGGCAATCAGTGTTGAAACAACCATGCAATACTTTGCAGTTCCCTTCATCCAAGACTCTGCTTCTTTTAGCAGTTCTTTGTGTTCTTTGGTGAATAATTCCCCAGGAGTTAGGCCTTCAGAGTTTTTCATCTCTATGAATGATGGTCGCATTATCTTCTTCACTTCCTGCCACATCAAAACATGAATTTTAGGCTATTGACACAAAGTGAAAGAAGCTTGAACTTTATACATAGACCATAAGGGGAAGATACCTCAAACCATAATAGTTCAACCATAATCTGAAAGCTGCTCCTGAGAACAAGTCAATTCTTGTGGTGCTAATTTCGCAGCAAAATGCAATAAAGTGGATTTATCAATACTATCCACGGAAGAAACTATGAAGTCCATGCCAGGGCCTGTTTTATGTATGAGATTGAAGATGCTAGCATGCAAAATTCAATGTGAATTATACTTTGTTTCTGCTATCCTTTTCTGTCATCAAATCAGGGCATGTTTTGTGTATGAGATTGAAGATACTTGCGTGCAAAATAGCATTGTGAATTATACTTTGTTTCTGCTATCCTTTTCTGTCATCAAATCAGGGTAGGTGCTCAAAAGCTCCACTAGAAACTCAAAATTTCTAACTTCAGCGGCGTAGAATATAGCTTGGGAAGGTTCTCTTATGAGTCCCATCATGCTTGACTCGTTTGGAAGAATTTTATTCCAGATATTCCTAACAAGCTCAATAGCCAGATTCTGCCTCACATCTGGAACAATTCAATTATGTAATGAAAAAGTAAGACGATGAAAATGTCTTCTTAAAAGACCAATTCCTTAAAGTATTGATATATTTATGGCATTTGTAATATTGCTCTGTTTTTGCTTTATAATTTAAAATTTTTGAGTTTGCTATTAGCATAACATAAGAGTATTTAACCAAGAAGTCTAGAGTTTAATCCTTCCCACCTCTTAGCATAAAAGCGTGGTGTAATTGTATTGACACTTAATCCTAAAGTGTTTTCAAATGAAGGGCTAGTTAGATACTGCAATATAGCAATAGATGAACTCACAGAAAATGCCACATTGCAGCTTGATATTTTGAGTTGAATTGGCCACTGACAATCTATTCCTAGTCTTACCCTCGGATGAATACATTTATTTACGAGTTAAGCATCTTTGCTCAGTATCTTTTTTGTATCAAAGTTATGCATCAAACTATGCTTGCCATGACGAAAATAAGAATAGGCAAGAACAGAACAGTTTTCTTCTCTCAGCACCCTCCTTTCCTTCTTTCAAGTAATCAAGAATACGAGGTATTTCTACTTCAGCCCATTAAATAACATAAATGGGAAAATATTCTAATGACTTAGTTTTCCTGATAATGTTGATTGTAGTCACTTACTGGACTTCATGATCTCTTTTTGATGTGCGGGACTGGACTCCGGCAACCAGAACTTGAAGGCTTTCGAGCTAACACATGTAAAGCTGTGCCATTGTCTCCATCCTGATTGGCCTCTTTTGGAGCAGTACCAAGGCTAAATCTGCAAAACGTTCCAATAATGCTTGAATTGCAGATTCTAATGCATAATTGTTGGTGTCTACCTGTATATGCTTCGACTTCTTTGGTTACAATTCATACAATCCTTTAGATATGTGTGACTAAGTGAGGTGCTTGTGGTTCACGCACCACAACTAGTGCAATCATACATATGATTAAGTTGGAGTACTCTAAGCATGCACTTTTGAGAAAGGTGAAAATGATGATTGAAACAGTCAATTATTTGTATTTTGATCAGTCATCAATTGCAGGATGGTAATCTATTAGTTAAGCCTTTCATTCTGTCAAGTACACCCTGCATATTGAACTTTGCCAACTGAACTAAGAAACACGAGGGTCTGTGTGAAAGCTTCATGTTTCTAGAGAAATATTCTTGCCCTCCAATGCTTGCAGCAAACATGACTTGACTGGTTCACAAGCTAAATCCCTCCAAGTCTACGGTGAAAGTTAGCTTGTCATACCATTTAGAACAAGCATGAGCAAAGACTAGCTTAAGGAGTTTATAACATAATGAGAAGAGATGTTTACTTCAAGCTTGCTTGCTATGATCTCTATTTTCCCCACGACAATAGATGTCACTCCTTGTCCACCCCTGCGAGTTGGCAAGAGTACATTTTTTTTATAGCATTGTTTCAGCAATCTTGGTGTTCCCAGCTGCCGCAGCAAAGCGGAAGGCAGTGTTCCCTTTGTAGTCTTGCAACTCCAAGTCATTTTCCTTCATTAATTTCACGAACTGTTCAACCAGGTGGACATGTTTTGCTCCTGCTGCTACATAGAGAACCGTTAACCAACCCTTGGTTATGGCCGCAGTCAGAAGGGTCAAATCTTGTTCCATGATGTGCCATACTGCTTTCCAATCACCTTTCAAAGCTGCTTTACGAAGAGGTACGCAAATATTGAAGCATTTTTCTCCGGCTTCTGATGAAACAAGTAACAGCAGATTAAAAAATATATACATGTTTTAGTGGATTCAGATTTGTTAAGAATCCTTGGATTTCTTGTGCTTGAGAGTAGGAAGTTCAGTGTTGAGTCGCATGAAGTAGCTAATCTTTAATTAGAAAGTGTTGTTTTCATCATTCTTACCGACGTAACTCATGACAGAGGGACAATTATTTCAAATGACAGATATAGGTCCGTACATAGATGTTTAACATGAAAAGGGTTTAAATGGAAACACCTGAAATGAGACAGGGTAACCTGACAATTTTGTAGGTAATATTACTATTTCATAATCTAATATATTTTATTAGACATTAATGCAGAATGTTTAGGACATGGCGCGTGAACTGTGAACAAGAAATCAAGGAA